GTGTGTGTGTGTGTCAGTGTTTCCTCTGAGCAGTGTTAAGTCAGGCTGTTTTCTCTCTGATAGGCCGGACGGGCACCAGAATAACCTGCGCAGCGCGGCGTACGAGGCTCTGATGGAGATCGTGAAGAACAGCGCGAAGGATTGTTACCCGGCGGTGCAGAAGACCACGCTGGTCATCATGGAGCGGCTGCAGCAGGTCCTGCAAATGGAGGTGAAGATCCGCTTCTGTGTCTGTGTGGAGATGAGTTGACCAGCACTGATGATGATGATGATGATGATGATGATGATGTGTATTGCTCTAGATCTGTCTCTCACTGAGCTGTATGATCTGCAGGACTGGACTGTATGATTCAAGCCTTTAGTAATGTTCAGTTCAGTAATGTTGCCTCCTGAACAGGTTTGGCTAAAGATTGAGCCTGTAGCATAACACTGATCAGCGATGCGACACAGGATCACGTCAGTCAGTCTGTTCCCCCAAACACCTGAACTTTCATTTGTCCCTGTAAATGAGCATTATAGGCCTGGCTGATCTGTGCTGATACTGTTCAGCAGAACACACACACACACACACACACAGTTGATCGTGTGTTCAGCATCATACACACTCGCTTCAGAAATACATGCCCATGTAGAGGAGCTGTGTGTGTGTGTGTGTGTGTGTGTGTGTGTGTGTGTGTGTGTGTGTGTTCTGGTTGTAATAACTGTGTGTTTTGTGCAGTCTCACATCCAGAGCACATCAGACCGAATCCAGTTCAATGACCTCCAGTCTCTGCTGTGCGCCACGCTACAGGTCAGTGTGTGTGTGAGTAAGTGTGTGTATGTATGAGTGTGTGTTCTGAGCTGTTTGTACTCCTGCAGAACGTGCTGAGGAAGGTGCAGCATCAGGATGCGCTGCAGATCTCGGATGTGGTGATGGCGTCGCTGCTGCGCATGTTTCAGAGCACCGCCGGCTCCGGAGGCGTGCAGGAGGACGCACTGATGGCCGTCAGCACACTGGTGGAGGGTGAGGAGCAACACACACACACACACACCATCATCATCATCATAGACACTCAAACTCCATCACATCTGTCGTTATTGTCATGTGATCAGAGCTGTGGTGTGTCAGTCGGTGTCCGCCGCTGTCTGCTTGGTTCTCTGATTAAGCCAGGTCTTCTGTTTGTTCTCCTCCAGTTTTGGGCAGTGACTTCCTGAAGTACATGGACGCCTTCAAGCCTTTCCTGATTATCGGACTGAAGAATTATGCAGAATATCAGGTAAAGCTGGGGCATTGCGGCGTGAGTGTTGATGATCGTTCCTCCTGCCGCTCAGAGATCATGCGGCTCAGGATTTTAGATCATCATAGAGAAATCTGAGTCTGTTTCACCCGGTGTGTGCCGACCGACGGTCTCCTGTGGCCACGCTGGACTTTGCGGGACTCTACAGCTGTAAACCTGCTGAAAATACCTGGACATAAACCATAAAGCAGAAGTGTTGAACTGTGTGTGTGTGTGTGTGTGTGTGTGTGTGTGTGTGTGTGTGTGTGTGTGTGTGCTGCAGGTCTGCCTGGCTGCGGTGGGACTGGTGTGTGATCTGTGTCGGGCTCTGATGGCCAATATTCTGCCTTACTGTGATGAAATCATGCAGCTGCTGCTGGAGAATCTGGGTGTAAGTACAGCTCCGCTCAGGCCGTGACTGCAGCACACTGCTGGACTACACCAGCTCTACATGCTCCACTGCCGACACTTCCTCTTCTCTAATGCAGAAACAGCGCTAGTCTTTCGTTTCTGTCTTTGTTTTGTACTAATAAAAGTCCAGTTCTGTTGGCGTGTTGAATAGGGCTGACGGTTACTCCATTACCTGCTCTTCTCTTTAAAACTCCTGCATCCTCACATCTCCTGGCGTTAGGGGTTATATAGTGAAGCAGCGCTGGTCAAACTGGGGCTGTTAGCACTGATCAAGCTTCGGCAGACTCTTCTCAGCTGAATGCAGAAGTGTATGAATAGTACACTAACTATGAGTAGAGCGCGAGCCGGCACAGTGAACACTGCGTGATGATGATGATGATGATGATGGTATCAGCTGACGGAAGCGCTGACGTCTCATTCGCCCAGAGCGTCAGTCGTGCAGCTGCTGGAGCTCTTCATCTGAGGAGTTTTGCTCTCGATTTATTTTTGGTTTGGGGCTCTGAAAGGATTTGCCCTACACTGAGGGGCCTTCAGCTGAGAGCCTGTTTTATTTGACAAGATGGCCATGAGGTCAGCAGGGTAGTGAGCTAGTGTGGGGAACGGCCATGATGAGCTCTGGGTCGTGTTCAGATGTGCACTAATACACCACACACATGATCTGTTCTCCACTGTCTCAGTGCTAAAGCTGCGCTTACACTAGTTCAGCATGTAATCGTGTGTGTGTGTGTGTGTGCGCGCAGAATGAGAATGTGCACCGCTCCGTCAAGCCCCAGATTCTGTCTGTGTTTGGAGACATCGCTCTCGCCATTGGAGGAGAATTCAAGAAGTACCTGGACATTGTGCTGGACACTCTGCAGCAGGCCTCGCAGGCACAGGTGGACAAGGTGAGCAGATGAACACACACACACACACACGGCGCTCAGTGTTTGACGATTGTTGTTGAACTTCTGTCTATTATCATCTGTGGTGCTGTGATGTCCTTCAGTCGTGTAGAGCAGACGTTCAGCGCTGCTCTGGGCTATCACTGATCTTAAACAGTTCAATGAGAAGATCTCCAGACCTGACCGCTGACAGCACACACACTGTCTGTCTGTTACACGAGCTGAGCTGTGTGTGTGTGTGTGTGTGTGTGTGTGTGTGTGTGTGTCTGCAGACGGACTATGATATGGTGGATTACCTGAACGAGCTGCGTGAGGGCTGTCTGGAGGCCTACACCGGCATCATCCAGGGCCTGAAGGGGGACCAGGAGAATGTGCACCGTAAGTGAACACACACACACACACACACACACTTCAGCATTGCATGGCGTGTGCGTAATGTGTGTGTTCTCCTGCGCAGCCGATGTGATGCTGGTTCAGCCGCGTGTGGAGTTCATCTTGTCCTTCATTCACCACATCGCAGAGGACGAGGACCGATCTGACGGAGTCGTGGCTAATGCTGTAGGGCTCATCGGGTGAGGCACATACACACACACACACACACACACACACACACACACACACTCGTACAGACAGACATTGTGCAGTAGTCTGACCCCTGTGTGTGTGTGTGTGTGTCAGGGACCTGTGCACCACCTTCGGGAAGGATGTGATGAAGCTGGTGGAGGTGCGTCCTCAGATCAATGACCTGCTGACTGAAGGCCGGAGATCCAAAACCAGCAAAACCAAGACTCTGGCCACGTGGGCCGCCAAGGAGCTGCGCAAGCTGAAGAGCCAAGCCTGGTGCGTGACCTCTGACCCCACAAACCTGCCTGTGTGTGTGTGTGTGTGTGTGTGTGTGTGTGTGTGTGTGTGTGTGTTAAAGCTGTTCACTCCAGTCTGAGGAGCACAGAGAGTGTGTGTTTCTCTGGCCCTCACTCTGCGAGTGTGTGACGTGTTGTTCTCCTGTGTGTGTGTGTGTGTGTGTGTGTGTGTTTCTCTGGCCCTCACTCTGCGAGTGTGTGACATGTTGTTCTCCTGTGTGTGTGTGTGTGTGTGTGTGTGTGTGTGTGTGTGTGTGTGTGTGTGTTCCTCTGCCCCCCACTCAGCATGTGTGTGACGTGTTGTTCTCCTCTGTGTGTGTGTGTGTGTGTGTGTGTGTGTGTTCCTCTGCCCCTCACTCAGCGTGTGTGTGACGTGTTGTTCTCCTCTGTGTGTGTGTGTGTGTGTGTGTGTGTTCCTCTGCCCCTCACTCAGCGTGTGTGTGACGTGTTGTTCTCCTGTGTGTGTGTGTGACGTGTTGTTCTCCTGTGTGTGTGTGTTCCTCTGGCCCTCAGTCAGCGTGTGTGTGTGACGTGTTGTTCTGTGTGTGTGTGTGTGTGTGTGTGTGTGTGTGTGTGTGTGTGTGTGTTCCTCTGCCCCCCACTCAGCATGTGTGTGACGTGTTGTTCTCCTCTGTGTGTGTGTGTGTGTGTGTGTGTGTGTGTGTGTGTGTGTGTTCCTCTGCCCCTCACTCAGCGTGTGTGTGACGTGTTGTTCTCCTGTGTGTGTGTGTGACGTGTTGTTCTCCTGTGTGTGTGTGTGTGTTCCTCTGGCCCTCAGTCAGCGTGTGTGTGACGTGTTGTTCTCCTGTGTGTGTGTGTGTGTTCCTCTCAGCGTGTGTGTGTGACGTGTTGTTCTCCTGTGTGTGTGTGTGTGTGTGTGTGTGTGTGTGTGTGTGTGTGTGACGTGTTGTTCTCCTGTGTGTGTGTGTGTGTGTGACGTGTTGTTCTCCTGTGTGTGTGTGTGTGTGTTCCTCAGCGTGTGTGTGACGTGTTGTTCTCCTGTGTGTGTGTGTGTGTGTGTGTGTGTGTGTGTGTGTGTGTGTGTGTGTGTGACGTGTTGTTCTCCTGTGTGTGTGTGTGTGTGTTCCTCTCAGCGTGTGTGTGACGTGTTGTTCTCCTGTGTGTGTGTGTGTGTGTGTGTGTGTGTGTGTGTGTGTGTGTGTGTGTGTGTGTGTGTGTGTGTGTGACGTGTTGTTCTCCTGTGTGTGTGTGTGTGTGTTCCTCTCAGCGTGTGTGTGACGTGTTGTTCTCCTGTGTGTGTGTGACGTGTTGTTCTCCTGTGTGCGCAGATCTCCGGCTGTGGAGTTTCTTCTTCTTCTTCTACCAGGACAAATGGAAATGAAAGCCCTGCGGTTCTTCTGTCTTTTAGAGCTGTGGACAGAAGTGCTTGTGCGCTGATGAGTGTGTGTGCGAGTGTGAGAGCGAGTGTAAGAGCGAGAGATTGACACACACCTTCAGTCCAGCTCCAGCAGAGGAACAGCGGCACACACCTCCACCTTCTCCACCTGCCCGCGTTCTCCATCCTGACCCGATCCTCCCCCCGGCCCGATCAGCTGCAGGACTGACCGTCACACACTGATTAGCAGACGGCGGCCGCGGGAACCTGCTGCTGGAGCCATGATGGCGTGACTGGAGTGTGTGTGTGTGAGTGAGCGAGGGCGGCGCTGTTTCCGCGTCGTCTCTCAATATTTCAACCAATAATAAATAAAGGTGATCAATATCTTGTTTGCGATTGAGTGAGCTGCTCTTGCGTTCCCTCGGCGAGCGGCAGTGGAGGCGTCCGGCCTCTCGTCACGGCTGCGCTACATTACTGGCCTCCTCCTCCTCCTCCTCCTCCTCTGTGTTTCTTTAATAATAGTGCTGATTGAGTAATGGTTCTCTTACCGGTGTGTGTTAGTATGGATGTGCGGATCGGAGCTTCACCTGCCCTGCCTAGGGAAGACTATTGCCACTACAGGCGCAGGCTCCGGCGGAGCGACGGGATATTAGACACCTCCACACGCGACTTTATTCTCCTTTATTTGTTTTGCAGGAAACTGAGTGCCAAACCCAGCGGTGCAGATGGACTTGAGCTTAATGTGTTACTCGTAGAAGATGCGAATTAATAATACACACGTCAGCGGCGGCGAGCCGAGCAGCATCCATGTGCTTTTGGTTGTAATTTTTTGTTTTGTTTTCCTCTTGCGGCACTTAATTGGAGTCATTCACCGAGCTTTTAAGAAGACGACGACGGACAGAATCAGACATTTGTATGAGGTTATATTTTTCCATTGATATGAAAATAAAGTTAAATTAAATCTTTCTGCTGTGTGTGTGTGTGTGTTGTGTCTTCAATAATGGCACATAAATGAGCAGCACACGTCCACAAGACCAGTTCAGGAAAATAATTTAATAATAAATACATTTAAATAGAACATTACAGCGCACCCACAGGGCACAACATGTGTTAAACACACAACATGTGTCGGTCAACATGTGTTAAACACAACATGTGTCGGCTACCAAAATAACAAATGTTCAAAACAATAAATATTAAATATATAAATATGTAGCGAAAGTCATGGTGTGTGTGTATGTGCGTGCAGTTAGCATTGAGACACACTGATGCAGCGCAGGCTGCGGAACACGTCCTGCATGAAGCTGCGCAGCTGCCGGAGTGTCGCGCGCACACGCACCTGCAGCTTGAACTGGCTGAGTGGAGCCGAGAGAGTGTGTGTGTGCGGCAACACCTGAGGACCAGCAGAGGGCACCTGGAGGAGGAGCTGCAGAACACAGAGCGCATTACACACCAGTACACACTAATACCAGTCAGTAATACACACACGCTCACCACTGTACACTAGTGTCAGTCAGTAACACACACACACACACTCACCAGCGTGCGCAGCTCTGCGAGGTCGTTCAGTAGGTTCTCTGGGCGGCAGGGCTCCAGCAGCTTCAGCAGGACTCTGTGATGAAGCTCCAGACCGATGAGCATCCGCTGCACACGCTCCTCCTGCACACACACACACAATGTTAGACACACCACTATACACCTACAAACACTGCACACACATGCAACATAAGTGTGTATTTACAGGTGTTAGTGTGTATTTACCAGTGTTAAATCCTCAGATTTGAGCAGCGGCAACGTCGGGATCTGGAACTCACTGGATAAAAACTCCTCAGTGGAGGAACTCAAACCCTGCACACACACACACACACACACACACACACACACACTTACGTTAGGAGAACAGCTGTTACTGTTGGAGCATCTCTAACCATGTGTGTGTGTGTGTTCAGTGTGTGTGTGTGTGTGTGTGTGTGTTGGGGGATGCTCACAGTGTTGGGTGCGCAGAGCTCCTGCACAGCTGGAATGTCGTTTAGGATCTTCTTGGCCAAACTCAAGGCTCTCAGAGTGTGTTCAGTGTGTGTGTGTGTTAGCTGTGGCTGTAGGGGCACACACAGCAGCTGGCACACACAGAGGTGCAGCAGAACTGAGGAACATGAAGGAGAAAGATGATTATCCTCCATCAGACAGTATTACTGCATTATAAGACAGAGAGCAGGTCACTGAGTCTCCTCATGATGACTACAATAATCATCACAATGATCAATAATAATAATAATCATCGTCACAATGATCAATAATAATCATCATAATCTTCACAATGATCAATAATAATAATAATCATCATCACAATGATCAATAATAATAATAATCATCATCACAATGATCAATAATAATATTAATATCTCACGGAGGCAGCAGGTCTTCATGGCGGCTCGCCGGTGCTCGGTGTCCGGTGTTGGGTGCTGCTGTGCGGATCTGGAGGCTTTTAAAGAGCCTGATTGTTCAACTGGGGAAACTTCCATGACTGATCGGCGTCGCGTTATTGCGTCTGAAGCGTTGCGAAAAACACTGACAAAAAGAAGGAAACAGTCAGTCAGTCCTCGGGGTTACTCGAGCCGGTGTTTACCGGCGGATGCTCTTCCTGAAACACCCACCCACGCACACACACACACACACACACACACACACACACGTGGCTCACCTGCACCGCGTGTCTACGCTGGCGAACACCGGGAGCGCATGCGCACTCGGAGCCCGCAGGACTCCAACCGCAGACCTGCCGCCGCTGCACCGGGAATAAACCGCTCCGTCACTCATATCGCCGTTCACACCGGTACACAGAGCGTTATTGAGCGGGGATTAAACGCGGATTAGAGCTTCAGATCCCGGGAATTCTGCAGTTTCGTCAGAGCAGGAAGCAGAAGCAGAAACCGCAGCAGCAGAGCCCCAATGACGCCCGGAGCCGCGTCACAGCCGCGTTGAGCAATCCGCCGTTTCCCCGCCACTGATGCGGGATTATTACAGCACTGCTGCAGGCGAGACTAATGATGGAGCTGTAATGAGGCTTTATGGTTATTCACTACACTTCCTCCTCCATCAATCAGTCTAAAATAATCAATAATCATGAGGAGACCGGGCCGGGTCAACAACATTTTGGGCCCCGCGGCTGCAGCAAACCCAAGGCAGGGGCCCGTGTATTTCACCACCTCACATCAGTTTTTTTTTGTAATTATTATTATACTTATTAATATTGTTATCTAGGGGCGAGGCAATGGCGCAGTGGGTAGTGCTGTCATCTCACAGCAAGAAGGTCGCTGGTTCAAACCTCGGGTCAGTTGGTGTTTCTGTGTGGAGTTTGCATGTTCTCCCTGTGTTCGCGTGGGTTTTCTCTGGGTGCTCCGGTTTCCCCCACAGTCCAAACACATGCGGTACAGGTGAATTGGGTAGGCTAAATTGTCCGTAGTGTATGAGTGTGTGTGTGTGAGAATGTGTGTGTGGGTGTTTCCCAGAGATGGGTTGCAGCTGGAAGGGCATCCGCTGCGTAAAAACTTGTTGGATAAGTTGGTGGTTCATTCCGCTGTGGTGACCTTGGATTAATAAAGGGACTAAGCCGACAAGAAAATGAATGAATGAATATTGTTATGTAATTTTCAAGCAGGCGGTTCATTCCGCTGTGGCGACCCCAGATTAATAAGAGGGTAAAGGCCGTGTACACTAGTGCTGTTTGCTTGTGTTTCAGTAGATGTTTAACTAAATAAAGGGCGCCAGGTGTGGGGTGGGGGTTGTTGTGCGCGTTCTCATCAGCTGTGTTGTCGAGCGCGTACTGTAAGGGGGGGAGGGGGTGGAGCGCGCGTACTCAAGATCGATGTTGTCGCGCGTCTACTGAACGACGGGAGTGAGGGTGTGTCGCGGGGCACTTTTGATCATTTTGGAAGGGCACTTTCTATCCAACACTAAATAGGGCACGTGCACTGCACAGGTTGAGCCCCATGTGTGCACGGGCCTGCCTATAATCCTAATACTGAGGAGGCGGCGAGTCAGAGAACAACAGCTCTGCTATACTCCTGCACGAGTGCTTCATCAGTTATCAGAGCCGCACGTTACTGTGAACTTCCACAGCACAAACGCCTGAAGCGTCCTGAGCTCGTCCATCAGCCCATCACAGAGGGTTAGCATTAGCATGTTTGTCAGCGACAGTGTTTCATCACTCCGCATTATTACTGTAGTTTTACAGATCTTCTTCTTAGAACGCAAATTACCCATGATGCCCTGCGTGTGTGCAAGGAGAATGCTAAAAACTTCCGGTGTGTGACCTGACCACGCTTTATATAGCGAACGCCTGGACCAAAACCACAACACTGAAACAAGAAGACAGAGTGCAGAACCTGCGCAGACTCGGACTGTTATTGATCAGTCCTCCATCATCCACACGCCCACACAGAACCATGAAGGCTGCTAGACAAGCCGCTGCGGCAGATTTAGCTAACCCTCCATCACAGACGTCCGCTGTCTTCGAGCTTTCAGAAGAGGAACTTCCATCATGTCCAGCTACAGCGAGCTCCTCCTGCATCCAGAACAGCTCTCCTGAAGAACACTGTGCAGTTTCCCTGTCTAACTTAGACATAATCAGACGCCACTGATGGATGGAGGAGAAAACTCCATGAACAGAAGACTCACAGCTGACTATCGACCTCACATGTTGACGGGAAAATGACTCGAGAAGATGACACGGGTTCCTGGAATCAGTCGAAGATATTGAAACTGAAACATCAAGATATGCCAGACAATTCTGCCTCGAGAACCAAGCACATGAACAGAGGAGATCCCCGTCACACAGCGTCTGGGGAAGAGGAAGCAGGAGTCACTCGCCTAGAGGGATCCAGAACACATCGGGACGCGTCAGGGCTGCAGCGGAGAACAGCTCGAGTCTGAGATTTGCTGAAGATCTTCCTCAAATTAGAGCCAAGATTTGGCCTACAATCCTAAAGGCACGCGGAGAGGGCGAATCAGCCGACTCGATGTGGCCGTGAGCTGTGAGCTGTCATTGGGGCGTTGAGCCTGGTCTTGGTCAGATTGAGGACGCTTCACAGGATGATGAGGAAGCCGCAGATTAAATGACTGAGTTTAGTTTCCGCTTTATTTGTCCTTCTTTACGTTTCTGACGTTACTCAATGCACAGGCGGTGGCCGTACAGCACTTCCTTTGCTCAGTTCTTTATATTAAATTATTTATATGTCTGATTGACTATTCGGGCCTCTATTCGTCATCTGGTGCTTCGTTCTGTCCTCGATTGAACAGCCTCCGGCGCCAGTATGCAGCTCTGCACAGGACGTTTGCCCAGTGGAGAAGCGGTGCTGCCCATCTGAGCCTGGTTTCTCTCCAGGTGTTTTGATTCTTCTCTTTCGCCAGGTGCTGAAGTTTGTTCCTCTCCGCTGTCGCCGCTGGCCTGCATGGTTCAGGGTCTGTAGAGATGGATGGATTTACTCTTCAGTGTTTGGACTCTCAGTAGTGAATATTTTTGTAATTCAACTTTTTTTATTGTTCAACAGCCAAGAACAGAGAGCACACGTCACCCTACACATACACATGACACATGTTACATATTACATATGTGGAAATTAGGGTTGTGGTACTTTGAATGCACATATTCATTTATCCTAATTGTAAATGTTGCCAGAGATCATCCCACTTTCTATGTACACTTCTCCCTCATTGTTCAATCTCCCCAGCACACACTCATATGATGCAGTTTCCATCACCCCATTAATCCACTCCTTCATTTCTGGCATTCTGGGATGCTTCCAGTTGCGGAGTATCATCACAGCAGCTGTAATGCATCCTATCTTGAGAAGAATAAGGGATTTTTACCTATATTAGGGATCACTAATTTGTCACCCAGAAGGCATAGCCGTGTCTCTACAGGTAACTCACAACCAATCCTCCATTATTCTCACCATTTTACACCAGAATGGGTAAACTAGACCACATTCCCAGATCATGTCTAAATAAGACCCGTCTCTCAGTAGTGATTATGAAACCACACTGAGCTGAACTGAACTGAACTGAACTGAACTGAACTGAACTGAGCTGAACTGAGCTGAACTGAGCTGAACTGAACTGAACTGAACTGACCTGAACTGAACTGAACTGAGCTGAACTGAGCTGAGCTGAACTGAGCTGAACTGAGCTGAGCTGAGCTGAACTGAACTGAACTGAACTGAGCTGAACTGAGCTGAGCTGAACTGAGCTGAACTGAACTGAGCTGAACTGAACTGAACTGAACTGAACTGAACTGAGCTGAACTGAACTGAACTGAGCTGAGCTGAACTGAACTGAACTGAGCTGAACTGAACTGAACTGAGCTGAGCTGAACTGAACTGAACTGAACTGAGCTGAACTGAGCTGAGCTGAACTGAGCTGAACTGAACTGAGCTGAACTGAACTGAACTGAACTGAACTGAACTGAGCTGAACTGAACTGAACTGAGCTGAGCTGAACTGAGCTGAACTGAGCTGAACTGAACTGAGCTGAGCTGAACTGAACTGAAGCTCTGAACACTGAACTACACTGTTTACATTCACTGTGTGATCTTCTGTGCTCAGCTGTTAGACTCAGTCCACATTGTAGAAGCGCTGTATAAATCAAGCTGAGCTGAATGAACAGTGGCGTTGGTCTCAGCATTCGGGTTCTCTGAACTGGACTGTTCGTGTCGGTTCTGTGCTGTCTATGAATGCCGGCGGGTTGTGTTTCAGCTTATAGCACTCTTCTTGATTGTGAAATAATTTAAAACTGATTTGAGTTTTTCCAGGAATGGCGCTCTGCAGCTGAACACGGATGGGGAATGGTGTCTGGTGTTGCGAGTGTTCTGCTGGTCTAATGACTGCACTCAGCCGTTTTAATAGGAGAGCAGTGGCCATCTCCTCATTCAGATCATATCTGCTGTTATCATAACGCTTCTGATGATGAATATTTACAGATATGACTGAAATGGTTATTAGATAATTAAATTAAACATTGGTGACTAAATGTCCTGATGTGCATATCATAACTGGAGGACAGTTTTATTTCACCTCTAATAAATTTGGGCGATGCGGTGGCACAGTGGTTACTGTTGTCGCCTCACAGCAGGAAGGTCGCTGGTTTGAGTCTCGGCTGGGTCAGTTGGTGTTTCTGTGTGGAGTTTGCATGTTCTCCCCGTGTTGGTGTGGGTTTCCTCCGGGTGCTCCGGTTTCCCCCACAGTCCAAACACATGCGCTATAGGGGAACTGGGTAAGCTAAATTGTCCGTGTGTGTGTGTGAATGAGAGTGAGAGTGGGTGTTTCCCAGTGATGGGTTGCAGCTGGAAGAGCATCCGATATTTAAAATGTATGCTGCAATAGTTGGTGGTTCATTCCTCTGTGGCGACCTCTGATTAATAAAGGGACTCAGCCGAACAGTAAATGAGTGAGTGATGGAGTGAGTGAACGAGTGAGTGATGGAGTGAGTGAGCGAGTGAGTGAGTGAGTGAACGAGTGAGTGATGGAGTGAGTGAGCGAGTGAGTGAGTGAGTGAGCGAGTGATTGAGTGATTGAGTGAGTGAGTGAGTGAGTGAGCAAGTGATTGAGTGATTGAGTGAGTGATGGAGTGAGTGAGTGAGTGAGTGATGGAGTGAGTGAGTGAGTGAGCGAGTGATGGAGTGAGTGAGCAAGTGATGGAGTGAGTGAGTGAGTGATGAAGTGAGTGAGTGAGTGAGTGAGTAAGTGAGTGATGGAGTGAGTGAGTGAGCGAGCGAGTGATGGAGTGAGTGAGTGATGGAGTGAGTGAGCAAGTGAGTGAGTGATGGAGTGAGTGAGTGAGTGAGTGATGGAGTGAGTGAGTGAGTGAGTGAGTGATGGAGTGAGTGAGTGAGTGAGTGATGGAGTGAGTGAGTGATGGAGTGAGTGAGTGAGTGAGTGAGTGATGGAGTGAGTGAGTGAGTGAGTGATGGAGTGAGTGAGTGAGTGATGGAGTGAGTGAGCGAGTGAGTGAGTGAGTGAGTGAGCGAGTGAGTGAGTGAGTGAGTGAGTGATGGAGTGAGTGAGTGAGCGAGCGAGCGAGTGAGTGAGTGAGTGAGTGATGGAGTGAGTGAGTGAGCGAGTGAGTGAGTAAGTGAGTGAGTGAGTGAGTGATGGAGCGAGTGAGTGAGCGAGTGAGTGAGTGAGTGAGTGAGTGAGTGAGTGATGGAGTGAGTGAGTGAGCGAGCGAGTGAGTGAGTGAGTGAGTGAGTGAGTGATGGAGCGAGTGAGTGAGCGAGTGAGTGAGTAAGTGAGTGAGTGAGTGAGTGATGGAGCGAGTGAGTGAGTGAGTGAGTGAGTGAGTGAGTGATGGAGTGAGTGAGTGAGCGAGCGAGTGAGTGAGTGAGTGAGTGAGTGATGGAGCGAGTGAGTGAGCGAGTGAGTGAGTAAGTGAGTGAGTGAGTGAGTGATGGAGCGAGTGAGTGAGCGAGTGAGTGAGTGAGTGAGTGAGTGATGGAGTGAGTGAGTGAGCGAGCGAGTGAGTGAGTGAGTGAGTGAGTGATGGAGTGAGTGAGTGAGTGAGCGAGTGAGTGAGTAAGTGAGTGAGTGAGTGAGTGATGGAGCGAGTGAGTGAGCGAGTGAGTGAGTGAGTGAGTGAGTGATGGAGTGAGTGAGTGAGCGAGCGAGTGAGTGAGTGAGTGAGTGAGTGATGGAGCGAGTGAGTGAGCGAGTGAGTGAGTGAGTGAGTGAGTGAGTGAGTGAGTGAGTGATGGAGCGAGTGAGTGAGCGAGCGAGTGAGTAAGTGAGTGAGTGAGTGAGTGAGTGATGGAGTGAGTGAGTGAGCGAGCGAGTGAGTGAGCGAGTGAGTGAGTGAGTGAGTGAGTGTGAGTGAGTGAGTGAGTGAGTGAGTGATGGAGTGAGTGAGCGAGCGAGCGAGTGAGTGAGTGAGTGAGTGAGTGATGGAGTGAGTGAGTGAGTGAGTGAGTGATGGAGTGATGGAGTGAGTGAGTGATGGAGTGAGTGAGCGAGTGAGTGAGTGAGTGAGTGATGGAGTGAGTGAGTGAGTGAGTGAGTGAGCGAGTGAGTGAGTGAGTGAGTGATGGAGTGAGTGAGTGAGTGAGTGAGTGAGCGAGTGAGTGAGTGAGTGAGTGAGTGATGGAGTGAGTGAGTGAGTGAGTGAGTGATGGAGTGATGGAGTGAGTGAGTGATGGAGTGAGTGAGCGAGTGAGTGAGTGAGTGAGTGATGGAGTGAGTGAGTGAGTGAGTGAGTGAGCGAGTGAGTGAGTGAGTGAGTGATGGAGTGAGTGAGTGAGTGAGTGAGTGAGCGAGTGAGTGAGTGAGTGAGTGATGGAGTGAGTGAGTGAGTGAGTGATGGAGTGAGTGAGCGAGTGAGTGAGTGAGTGAGTGAGTGAGTGAGTGAGCGAGTGAGCGAGCGAGTGAGTGAGCGAGTGAGTGAGTGAGTGATGGAGTGAGTGAGTAATCTTCTTGATCGTTGGCCACCTGGCAAAGGTTCCTCCACTACTACAAAAGTAAATCTACTAATGATAGGAATCGATAGACACTTGGAGGCCAATATTTCCTGATGATCCGGGATTCACTTGGTCCAATAACAAGGGTAGTAATTATTTAGGCATTGATTAGGATTAGGTTTAAAGGCCTCCATCTAGATTTGAGGTGAACATACGCCGAGGATGTCTCATTTGTCCTCGTGTATTTCTACAGGCTGCGCAGTCATGAGCAGATCACAGTAAACTGAGGGATCTTGTAGGCATCAGTACAGCAGAGAGGGAAGTGGTCATCATCACTGAGCCGATGACACTATTCTCTTTGGAAAAAGTAAGTTGTCGTAGCTTCAGGAGTCATTAGCACATTTTCTAGTTTCCACTAAATGTGAATTATTATCTGAGACAGATGGCGATGCTGTTATAAGCTAAAATTAACCCACACGCTGTGGTGATCATGTTACTCCAATTACAGAAAAACCCATAAAACCTCATCTTTAAAGCAAAATCTCTATAAATGGAGAAGAGCAGCACTCACTGACTGCTTATCCAGATTAATCTGCTGCTTTGGTCCTACAATAAGCAGACTACATTAATAAACAATAGACAAGATGATTATTTCCCTGTGTTTGGAGAACACATGACATTTAGACAGCAGGTGTGATGAACACTTAAGAGCATGGAGGAGCACATGTTCTAATTTTAATACATTAAACTGCACCTTTAAACTACATCGATTTGGAATTATAACCTGAATTATATTCTCTCACAGCTGAGAGGCTTAAACTTTCCCTTCCTACGTCATTATAATATTGAAAAGCTTCCCGTCAAACTCTCTGCATTTCATAAGGCAATGCTTCTCTCTTGCTCTCTGATTTATCAACACAGATTTCCTCCACACTCTGGTTTCATCGGGAATAACCGCAATATACTCTATAAAATAAACCTGTATTTTTCCAGAAGAATAATATAAACAAACATCATCACTGAAATAAACAAACATCATCACTAAAACAAACAAACATCATCACTGAAACAAACATCATCACTAAAATAAACAAACATCATCACTAAAACAAACATCATCACTGAAATAAACAAACATCATCACTAAAACAAACATCATCACTAAAATGAACAAACATCATCACTGAAATAAACAAACATCATCACTGAAATAAACAAACATCATCACTGAAACAAACATCATCACTGAAATAAACAAACATCACTAAAACAAACATCATCACTAAAACAAACATCATCACTAAAATGAACAAACATCATCACTGAAATAAACAAACATCATCACTGAAATAAACAAACATCATCACTGAAACAAACATCATCACTGAAATAAACAAACATCATCACTAAAACAAACAAACATCCTCACTAAAATAAACAAACATCATCACTAAAACAAACATCATCACTGAAATGAACAAACATCATCACTGAAATAAACAAACATCATCACTGAAATAAACAAACATCATCACTGAAATAAACAAACATCATCACTAAAACAAACAAACATCATCACTGAAACAAACATCATCACTAAAATAAACAAACATCATCACTAAAACAAACATCATCACTGAAATGAACAAACATCATCACTGAAATAAACAAACATCATCACTGAAATAAACAAACATCATCACTAAAACAAACAAACATCATCACTGAAACAAACATCATCACTAAAATAAACAAACATCATCACTAAAACAAACATCATCACTGAAATAAACAAACATCATCACTGAAATAAACCAACATCATCACTAAAACAAACAAACATCATCACTGAAACAAACATCATCACTAAAATAAACAAACATCATCACTAAAACAAACATCATCACTGAAATAAACAAACATCATCACTGAAATAAACAAACATCATCACTGAAATAAACAAACATCATCACTGAAATAAACAAACATCACTAAAACAAACATCATCACTAAAATGAACAAACATCATCACTGAAATAAACAAACATCATCACTAAAACAAACAAACATCATCACTGAAATAAACAAACATCATCACTGAAATAAACAAACATCATCACTGAAATAAACCAACATCATCACTGAAATAAACAAACATCATCACTGAAATAAACAAACATCATCACTGAAATAAACAAACATCATCACTGAAATAAACAAACATCACTAAAACAAACATCATCACTAAAATGAACAAACATCATCACTGAAATAAACAAACATCATCACTAAAACAAACAAACATCATCACTGAAATAAACAAACATCATCACTGAAATAAACAAACATCATCACTAAAACAAACAAACATCACTGAAATAAACAAACATCATCCCTGAAATAAACAAACATAATCACTGAAATAAACAAACATCACTGAAATAAACAAACATCATCACTGAAACAAACATCGTCACTGAAATAAACAAACATCACTGAAATAAACAAACATCATCACTGAAACAAACATCGTCACTTAAATAAATAAACATCATCACTAAAACAAACATCATCGCTAAAACAAACATTATCGCTAAAACAAACATCGTCACTGAAATAAACAAACATCATCACTAAAACAAACAAACATAATCACTGAAATAAACAAACATCATCACTGAAATAAACAAAAATCACTAAAACAAACATCATCACTGAAACAAACATCGTCACTGAAATAAACAAACATCATCACTAAAATGAACAAACATCATCACTGAAATAAACAAACATCATCACTGAAATAAACAAACATCATCACTGAAACAAACATCATCACTGAAATAAACATCATCACTGAAATAAACATCATCACTGAAATAAACAAACATCATCACTGAAATAAACAAACATCGTCACTGAAACTTCATAAATAACAGACAGCACTGCTCTAGTTCCTCTGGCGGCTCAGCAGGGGGCAGCATCTCCTCCCGTGTCCGCCAAAACACGCACGAGCAAGAGCGCGACGGCCCAGAGTGCAGTTCGGCCGTCAGATTTGCCAGTCATCTTCAGCATCAGTTCTGAGCTGCAGCAACTCAGAGGAGCTGTTTATTTACATTACCGGAGAATTACCGACACCGAACACCGACACCGGGCGGCAACATGAAAGAGGCGACGGCGAAGAGACGAGAGAAACCGAAGGAGAAAAACACCGCAGAGCCGCAGGATGTGGAGATGAAGGAGGAGGAGCAGCGCGGGGCCCGGGAACTGGACCAGACCACTCTGGACGGTCAGAACACTCTATAATACAGTATATTACTGACCCATAACACACAGGGGACTGGACCAGACCACTCTGGACGGTCAGAACACTATAATACAGTATATTACTGACCCATAACACACAGGGGACTGGACCAGACCACTCTGGACGGTCAGAACACATTATAATAGTGGACTGTACAGTACCGCACATTGTTATTGGATGATGATGAGCAGCAGAACAGTACATGTTGTTTCGGGCTCTCGTGTTTAACAGATCTGCTACAGCTGCAGTGAGACTGGAGCAGCTTCTGTTCTGAACTCTGTGAATGTCCAGACGGTCAGACGCTCAGCAGCGGGTTGGTGATGATGAGGATGGAGTGTGTTGCAGATCTTCATCATCATCTCTGCATTTACAGACAGCAGTGCTGTCATCTGCTCTCTGCTGTCAGAGGAGTGTGTTATTACAGTAGTGTGTGTGTGTGTGTGTGTGTGTGTGTGTGTGTGTGTGTGTGTGTGTGTGTGTGACTGCAGATATCCGGGAACATGTGAAGCAGATCGAGAAGGCGGTGTCGGGGAAGGAGCCGCGGTTCGTCCTGCGGGCTCTGCGGGCGCTGCCCTCCACCAGCCGCCGCCTCAACACAAACGTCCTGCATAAAGCCGTCAGCGGGTTCTTCACAGCAAACGCCGCCGGGAAAGAGTTTCTGCTCGGCTTCCTGGAGCAGGTAAAACACCCTTCATCAGCGCTGAGCACACTGCTGATTACCGTGATCACTGCTCTGGGTGATCAGGACAGGTTTTGCTCTTCATTAAAGGTCACGATGCTGAACATCAACACAGAAGTGGTCTAGCAGAGGCTCTGTAGATGAGTGTCACATTCCCTCATCAGAGTATTGATCATGTGTTGTCGTGTGTCAGTAGCGGGTCTGCTTTTCCAACCATATTGAAAGATATGCATGATCTAGTGTGCATTATTGGGCTCGTGTTGTGGTTTTGAGTCTAAAACTATTTTATTTTCAAGCTAGAAAAAGCAAGCAGGCGACCATTAATCTCTCACACAGCTGGAGATCTGGAGGAGACAGAAACCGCTCCATATGCACTGCGTGCTGACAAACGGCCCTGTCGAGCTCTGACTGAGTCCCACACAGATTTTCATCCAGTAGTCTTGCTGATCCTTCCTTTAGCAAGCGGCCGGCGAATCCCCCACTGCAGCACGGCTATTGTGTATCTGCAGAACAGTCACTCGTTAATGTTTCCTCATGATCAGTCACACACACACACACACACACACACACACACACACCCGCACGCTGCTCGTGTCTGAAGGGAAGGCGGCGCTCGTGTTTTACCACATCCGGCCACTCATACACGCTAATGATGGAGGAACGGCAGATCATTACACGACTCTCAGATGACTCTTTATAAAGCAACAGTTGTAAACGGGGGCATCTCTAACCCTCAGCTGGATGTTTTCCTCCGCTGTGCTACACACCGTCATTTCCATTCCCTCTGTGATGCAGCACTGAATTAATTAATCTGATGTTTGTTTCCTGCAGCCGGTGGAGATTGAGGGCGACGTGCCGTTCAGACCACGCACCGGTAAAGCTGCCGCGGTGCCGCTGATCCCTGAGGTTGAGGCGTACCTGCAGCTGCTGACGGTGGTGTACCTGACCAACAACAAACACTACACAGAGGTCAGACTGCACTCATATCTACAGCAGCAACACATGAAGCTGAATCTGTTCTGATAAACACTGCTCATGCTCATGTAGGAGCCTGTAAACAGAAGCTGTGTACTATGAAAATGACAAAACCAGTGGAAAATGTTGACTTATATGAAAATAATGAGCAGTGGAGAGAGAACGGGCTTCATAATGCATGAATATCAGTTCCTGGTGATTATCTGCAGTGAGGAGCAGCGCCAGACACAATCTGTGGACATCTCCTGCTGTTTCTGCTGAGAATGAGTAAAACATCTGCAGATTTATGCTGAATTATTCACAACCATCATAACTAAACTAATATAGGACATCATCATCATCATAATAACAGCTGTTTAACTTTAATGTTTACAGTGCAAGTCTATCTAGTGGTGCGTTTCCCAAACAGTGATGTAACTGGCGGCTGAGCCATCATAGCACTGCATGGTCTGTGAGAGAGCGCTGTAGTGACGAGTGTTTCCTAAAACCCGGAGTTTCTCTGCGGCAGATCCATCGTTTGAGCCACGCTAGTTATAACGTAAAACACCCATAATGCAGCTCTGCACGGGGCGGAGGAACAGCTTCTGTAGAGCAGAACACACACCTAAAATAATCCAGTATTAGTTTAATAAAGCACGCACTCGCTCTCCACATCAGCTGAAATACATGTAAACAGCACATATAGAGTGTGTGTTTCCCTTACAGACATTATAGAGAACATCACAGACCCTATTCCACAACAAACAATCACTTCCAGAAGACAACACCTGCTCTGATCTCATGTAGAAACCACAGACATAAAGAAAGAATGAGGCCGTTTATTAAGAAATGACAATTAATATTTATTAGGACATGAAAAAATATCCCACTTTAATAATAATAATATTAATGATGATGATGATGAAGATGATGATGATGATGAAGATGATGAAGATGATGATGATGATTGATTGATTATTTAGTCTACTTTTGCAGTTTTACAGGTGTAAGCCTCTGCACTGTGTTCTACCCAGCAGGCCCGTGTCATTTACAGCACCGATACTTCATCAATAACCCACTGTACATTAAGCATTAGCGTTTGCGGTGTGTTTTGCTTTCACGAGCTTTGGAGACGCAACATAAACTCCTACAGCTTTCATCATGAGCAACGGCTGTGTTCAAAATGACGTCAATGTGTGCAAAGTGCACTGTGAAGGGAGCGCCACTGTAGACATGAAGATGACTAAAACTGAACTGTGAAATACTCTGAAAGCAGATTCTCAGTTTCAGTTTCTGGTTTTTAGAAACAAGAACACAGAACGCACGTTTGCACACACTGTACACACACCAACTAAACACTCATATTAGTCAACAATCTTACTGAAAACAAGATGAAAACACAATAAATACACACGCACACACATTTACCCAGGTTAATCAATAGACTCAGTGATGGGCTGGAGATCTGCAGATTTGTGTGTGTGTGTGTGTGAGTGTGTGTGTGTGTGTGTGTGTGTGTGTGAGAGTGTGTGTGTGTGTGTGTGTGTGTGTGTGTGTGTGTGAGTGAGTGTGTGTGAGTGAGTGTGTGAGTGAGTGTGTGAGTGTGTGAGTGAGTGAGTGTGTGAGTGAGTGTGTGAGTGAGTGTGTGAGTGAGTGTGTGAATGTGTGTGTGAGTGTGTGTGAGTGTGTGTGTGTGTGTGTGTGTGTGTGTGTGTGTGTGTGTGTGTGTGTGTGTGTGTGTGTGTGTGTGTGTGAGAGTGAGAGTGAGAGTGAGAGTGTGAGTGTGAGTGTGAGTGTGTGTGTGTGTGTGTGTGTTGATGAGTAATGAACGCATTGTCTCCTCCACAGGCTCAGAAAGTCTCAGATGATCTCCTTCAGAAGATCGGCTCTCAGAACCGCCGTGCGCTGGATCTGGTGGCCGCTAAGTGCTACTATTATCACTCACGTGTGTATGAGTTCCTGAACCAGCTGGACGTGGTGCGCAGGTGAGCTGTTCACACACACACACACACACACACACACACACACACACTGCAGTTAGCTCATACTGTTCTGTTTCAGTTTCCTGCACACGCGGCTGCGGACGGCCACGCTGCGCCACGATGCGGACGGTCAGGCCACGCTGCTCAACCTGCTGCTGCGCAACTACCTGCAGTACAACCTGTACGACCAGGCAGAGAAGCTGGTGTCCAAATCTGTGTTCCCCGAGCTGGCCAATAACAACGAGTGGGCACGCTACCTGTACTACACAGGTGAGAGGATCCTCAAACAGGGGAACAGCGGTGTGTAGGGATGTCCCGATACAACATTTTAACTTCCGATACGATTCCGATAATGCAGCCTTCAGTACGAACCGATACCGATATAAATGCGATATCAGATGATGAATACTTTACTTTTACCTATTTTGTTGAGAGGAATGTCTGAAAGGCTAGATCAAACTGAGAACAAAAGTCAGCCACAGTAAGTATGGAAATAAACGACCAATATATTAACTACTGGTTGCATAAATGTGAAGCTTTATATAGGAATATATTTAAAGTAATTAAAGAATAAATATTAAGACCCTGAAAAATATCTTACCTGAATAAACAAAATATACATATTTTAAAGTGCAAAATGCTGATTAAAGGTCACTTCAGTTATTTATTTCTTACCATCAGCAGATGATAGAAACAGCTGAAGCAGGAACAGAAGAAAACATTGTTCACTGATCAACTGCTGAAGGTGGAGCGTCTAAAGTCTGTCTGTGTGATTTTCACACACAGCTTCTTGATGAATTTGTGATCCAGTTTTGAGCTGAGAAATATCTTTTACACAGGCCAGCAGACATAAAGAGTTATTGTTATAAGTTATTGTTAAATTAATAAAAATGTGCAGTATGGTTAATACAAACATTTACATGATCAGATCTGTTTACTCTGTGTTTGCATCATAAGAAGAGTATGGCTGTATCATGTTCCAGAAAGTAACACCATTCTGTCTGTTAAACTGTAATGACCCTCAGCAACAGAAGGATTTCTTATTCTTATTCAATAGACAATTAAACCAACAGAAATGTTTAGCATTGAACACCTTGTACATGACAGCTATAGAAAACGAAAGCAGAATCCGGGACATGTTCGGCGCTTTAGAAATCCTGCTGAATGCATTTTTCAGTCTCCAATAGAGGACATGTCCAGGAAAAAGAGGATGTATTGTCACCCTAGATCATGAGCTGAGTCAGTCTATTTAGTGAAAGGTTTTCTTGGCGTGTCCTCGCACTCATCTCCAAGCGACTACCGAAGTCAGATGTGCAGCGCGTCTCTGAAGTCTGAAGCAGCAGAGCACCCGAGTGTGTGGAGTTTCTCACGCACACAGAACCGGCCGTGAGGTAAAGTCTTATATGTGGGAAGCGCTGGTGTTGAATTGAGCATCACACTGGATGAACCACGATACGCCATGACCGAGTTGTAATGTAAACATTTTAAATGAGGCTCGCATGGTGTGCGGTTCGTCGCCATTCAGCGCGCTGCTCAGCAGTGTATACAGGACAATGTAAGTTAAAGATCGCTTGACATGAAGTAAATAAACCAGTAGAGATGTGCCGCTCAGTGAAGGGTGTTAGTGTGGCGGAGCAGTGGAGGACGGTTACAGCTGTTAGCTCTGCAGAAGTGGTGTGTTGTCAGTGTAGTCAGGAGCTGAAACCCCCCCCGCCGGCACACAACACTGAGCCGGACATCATCTGTTTCAGGCCGCATCAAAGCCATCCAGCTGGAGTACTCAGAGGCCAGGAGGACCCTGACCAACGCCCTGCGCAAAGCCCCTCAGCACACCGCCGTGGGCTTCAAGCAGACTGTGAGTGTGTGTGTGTGTGTGTCCACTGCTGTGAATGTGAAGACTGCGTGTGTAAGTGTGTGATGACGGTGTGTGTCCTGCAGGTTCACAAGCTGCTGATCGTGGTGGAGCTCCTGCTGGGGGAGATTCCTGACCGTCTTCAGTTTCGGCAGCCGTCGCTCAAGCGCTCGCTGATGCCCTACTTCCTGCTCACACAAGGTAAACACACACTCTACTTCCTGCTCACACACTCTCATCTACAGAAACACACACTCCTGTGTCCGTGCTGATCTGAGGTCAGTGTCGGTGTAGTGGTGTCGGTCTGACCGTGTTCTCTGTGTCTGCGCTTCTGCTCCTCCAGCCGTGAGAACTGGAAATCTGGCCAAGTTTAACCAGGTCCTGGATCAGTTTGGAGAGAAGTTCCAGACCGACGGCACGTACACACTGATCATCCGACTGAGACACAACGTCATTAAAACTGGTGAGTTCATCACACCGTGCGCAGACGAGTCTATCTACAGCTGAACAGCTTCAAGGGGCCGTTCACACACACACACACACACACACACACACACAAACACACACACACAGTTCAACATTCCCTATTCACGGAGACGCTAGCGGCTCATAGGTCAGCGCGTATAACCCTTCATCACTTTAACAGAAGGAGACACTGACTGCTGTAGTTACTGCAGTTGTGTTCTTTGCAGGGCTGGAAATTGTGACCGTTTTGCTCTCATATGAGCCGGAATTGTGTCTATGTGGCCGCAGTATATATTGGAGCATTTGTGCGAGTGCATATATTGTTGTCGTGCGACCGGTTTTCACAGCACAATGTTCAGCACACGTGTAGATTTAGGAGGCCTTCACACATTTCCCAGCTCAGCAGTGTGTATAGCAGTCGTCATGTCCACTTGCTGCAGTAAACAAACCCGCAATGCCTGCCCCGCCTTCAAGCTCTTCTTATTGGCCCACAGCGCTACAACAGAACACCAATGGATTGGTTAATATCAGCTGTCAATCACTCAGTTCAGATGACGGAGCTACAGAGGTCTGGATAATGGAGAATGAACACAGCACTGACAGATTGAGTTTTAGACAGCAGCTAAAGGGACAGATAACGGCTCGTCTGATCAGTGATCATGTGGAGAACGTCGATCCAGCATCTACACTTTCCCAAGAGTGGCTAAAAGACTTCCAGTGTTCGAGCTCCGCTATGAAAAGGACTGAAGCGTTCGCTGTAAAGCCGCTGGGACGGAGTTTTCAGGTAGCAGTGTTTGCCGCTGAATCTACACATGAAGCAGGAGATGTTCAAACCTTATTTAATCATCACGATGCTGTCAGCGACTGACCCCGCGCTCACCATCGCTGAAGAGCATGCGCTGACCGAGATCAAGCTGATACTGCAGCTCATTAGAGACTAGGGATGTAACGGTATCAGAATTTCACGGTACGGTAATACCTCGGTATGAATGTCACGGTACGGTATTTATTGAATCATTTACAGGAAAAAACAAAACTTATGAAAATACTCCAAAAAAGTGCCAAAAGTGTCAATGACATACAAATTAGCCATCTATCTGTAAGCTTTGAAACAGGAACTTCAATTTTAATAACAAAAAATTATTAAACCATGTAAAAACAATAAAGTTTCAATTTAGTATTGTTGAAAACTCATCACATTCAACATTTAATCACACTCAGCCCATCTACCCAGATGAGAGCTCTGCTAGTCGGACTTCTCATCAAGCATCTCCCGCTGGATCAATCTCACTATATTTATTAAACGGGATATTTCATTCATCTTGTTGTCTTTATCTAACGACATATTCCCTGACTTTGGTCATTGGAATCTATTACTTGTTCTCAGGTAACGTGTTTTGGCTGAGCGCAAAGATAAGTTAATGATTAATGTAAGCACGTACATTCTGTATATTGGCTGATCGCTTGCCTTTATTTCCTATAATGTATAAACTTATTGTATGTTATACTTTTATAATGGCCATTATCGATTATTAAAACCGATACTCAGCAAAAGAGAGGGTGTGTTTCGTATTTTCACTGAAATTGAAAGGAGGCAGTTGTTATCGGCTCCGTTTTGTTATAAATATCCACACAGTGAAGATGACGCTCATCTTATGCAGCACGACGCCTCAACATGTCTGCTGTCTAAGTTGCTAATATTAAAATGAAAATAGGCAGCTCCTTAAATCATGTTTACATTTTATTGTTGATAAAGTGAAACAACGAAGCCAGGGTGATGTGAATGAAGTTATAAAGTACACTGTTCCCTTTGAAGATTTACCCGTGTCCTCGGTATAGTCTGCTTTTCCATATCAAACTGAGAAGAAGAGACTGCAGCCTTGATCAAACTTGCGAAGTCTGAACTTACACGGAGATAATGCAGGACTGAACTGTGCGTGTTAGGCTACTTAATATTCAGGAAAAGCCCCAATCAGAGAGGCGAACGTCTGCAGCCCCGCCTCCGTTTTCAGATGTCTCCGTTTTCCATTATCCACACTGAGACATTATCCACACATTTCGAAACGCTCTGTTTTCGGCGCTCGAGAACTCTGGCGTAGTGTGGACGGTTGGCGTAACCGTAGCAAAACTTATGCGTTTTCAAACTAAAACACATTAGTGTAAACAGGGCCTTAGAGTTTTCCAGCTCTTTTCATCCCCGCTTCTAGCAGCACACTCCATTTCCGCATTACTGGATCTGTAGTGACAACAGACCGCAAGGGATGATGGTCAAGCATGGGCTGATGGGTATTGTAGTTTTCGCTACCTCCCGTTCGCTTCATTCGCCTAAGCAAATTTTCTCAGAAGACCTATAGTTTTACCGAGTCATGCGACTTCGGTAATATCGGAAAAAAATAATATTGCGGTATGACGGTATTTACAATACCGTTACATCCCTATTAGAGACCGTTTCTGCTGTTAAGATGACGGATGCCAATAATAATTTCTGTCATCATCATCATCTGTGCAGTATGAGACGGCACCGGTGAGAACAGCACTGTGATTATTGTTACCTCAGTTCATCTCCGTCACGTGCAGCAGTGTGTGCAGGCCGCTGAGCGCAGGCAGAGTTTGTTGATTTGTTAGTTGTGATTAGAGGCTTAATATATAACTCGATCTGTTCATATAAGACGTGTAGTAACGCTGCTCAGCATTTTCAGAGGCTGCCACTACAATAAAGCTTCATTTCCAGCCCTGCATGAAGAATGCTGAAGCCGTAATCACCGACTCCCATAGCAGGAAACACTGTCAACATGAACCGCTGCAGCTCTCAGCATTTCTCAAAGCTTCTCCTTTGTGTTCAGCAAAGCTCATGAAGGGTTCTGTGGATGAGTACACAACAGCAGAGTGACCTGATGTGTGTGTGTGTGTGTGTGTGTGCAGGCGTGAGGATGATCAGTCTGTCGTACTCGCGCATCTCTCTGGCTGATATTGCACAGAAGCTGCAGCTCGACAGTCCTGAAGACGCAGAGTTCATCGTGGCCAAGGTCAGACACCTTAACACACACTAACACACTCACACACACACACACACACACACACACACACAGACTAACACACTCACCCTGTAACACACACCCAGTCTGAACGTGAGAAAATGCTTATCTTTAGCTGAACTGATCCAACATAGATTGTGTGTGCGCGCGCGCATGTGTGCGTGTATGTGTGTGTGTGTGTTTGCATACGCACGCATGTGTGTGTGTGTGCATGTATGGTGTGTCCACAGGCGATCCGTGACGGTGTGATCGAGGCCAGCATTAATCATGAGAAGGGCTTCGTGCAGTCGAAGGAGACGATGGACATCTACAGCACACGAGAGCCGCAGCTCGCCTTCCACCAGCGCATCGCCTTCTGCCTCGACATACACAACATGTCTGTGAAGGTAGAGGAGTGTGTGTGTGTGTGTGTGTGTGTGTGTGTGTGTGTGTACAGGACTGACTGCTGTGTTTCTCTGCAGGCGATGCGTTTTCCTCCGAAGGCCTACAATAAAGATCTGGAGTCTGCAGAGGTGAGACCGAACACACACACGCACACACGCACACACACACACACACACACACACTGCTGACCGGCTGTCTGTGTGTGTGTGTGTGTGCGCAGGAGAGGCGTGAGCGGGAGCAGCAGGATCTGGAGTTCGCTAAGGAGATGGCAGAAGATGATGATGACAGCTTCCCCTGAGCCGCAGCGCCGCTTCCTCTTCCTGTTTCCTCTCGGCCTCCATTGTTTTTTTTTTCTGCTGTTTTGTCTGAAATGATCCACACACACACACACACACACACACACACACACACTGATGTGCTGATGAGTCTCCGTGTTCTGCTGTTGTGTATGTGCTGAATAAACGCCGCTGTGCTGCAGGCTGTGTGTGTGTGTGGTCATTGCTCCTCCATGAGCTGCTCTGCTCTGCAGTGTGTGTGTGTGTGTGTGTGTGTGTGTGTGTGTGTGTGTGTGTGTGTGTGTGTGTGTGTGTGGTCATTGCTCCTCCGTGAGCTGCTCTGCTCTGCAGTGTGTGTGTGTGTGTGTGTGTGTGTGTGTGTGTGTGTGTGTGTGTGTGTGCGTGTGTGTGTGTGTGTGTGTGTGTGTGTGGTCATTGCTCCTCCATGAGCTGCTCTGCTCTGCAGTGTGTGTGTGTGTGTGTGTGTGTGTGTGTGTGTGTGTGTGTGTGTGTGTGTGTGTGTGTGTGTGTGTGTGTGTGTGTGGTCATTGCTCCTCCGTGAGCTGCTCTGCTCTGCAGTGTGTGTGTGTGTGTGTGTGTGTGTGTGTGTGTGTGTGTGTGTGTGTGCGTGTGTGTGTGTGTGTGTGTGTGTGTGTGTGGTCATTGCTCCTCCATGAGCTGCTCTGCTCTGCAGTGTGTGTGTGTGTGTGTGTGTGTGTGTGTGTGTGTGTGTGTGTGTGTGTGTGTGTGTGTGTGTGTGTGTGTGTGTGTGTGTGTGTGTGTGTGTGTGTGTGTGTGTGGTCATTGCTCCTCCGTGAGCTGCTCTGCTCTGCAGTGTGTGTGTGTGTGTGTGTGTGTGGTCATTGCTCCTCCGTGAGCTGCTCTGCAGTGTGTGTGTGTGTGTGTCCAGTAGTGTTGGTGCTGAGGGTGAATCTGTCTTGATCCGGCTTCACTGGGTTCTGATTCTGATTGAGCTGTGACTTCACCAGCGCACCGCAGCCCTCCACCTGCCCACAGCCCTGAGATCAGCAGGATTAAACACACACACACACACACACACACACACACACACTGCTGGGTTTGGCACTTGTGGAGCTGCGTATGGATGGATCTGAACTGAGCTTCAGCTCTGAACACTGGACTGACTCGGGTTCAGTTCACTACAGTTCTGTGATCAGCTGCTGCTGCGACACTCTACTGGAGAATGGAGATGAGCTGACCTGAGACCAGCACACAGTAGCCCGGGCGAGTGGCCGCTCCTCCGCTGCAGCAGGCGGCGCTGTGTCCGCTGGCGGAACCGGAAAGCGCTGAATGGAGGGAAAATTTGTTTTGGATCCCAGCGGCGTGTCAGCGTAAACATTCGCAGTGTCAGACAGAAAATGAAAGCGTGATTCAGTGTAAAGTGTTTTCTGCAGGAGGATGAGCAGCGCGCCGGGCTCCTGCACTGCAGCCGGTCAGCAGAGATCATGAGCGGCGCCAAACTGGAGCATTTACTGGCGGAAGCAGTGAGCGAAGCGGATGCCAGGTAACAGCTAACCTCTGCTAGCGGCTAACCCTTCATTAGCATCACGCTGCGCTTATTCAACACACAAACACTGATCACGCGTGCTGAGATGCTCCTCAGTGAAGCTCCGTCCTCCTGCTGCCTGTCTGTGTGTGTGTGTGTGTGTGTGTGTGTGTGTGAGTGCTCGGAGCGGCTGCAGTGTGTGTGTTGAGGAGCAGCAGGCCTCTGAGCTTCAGTCGGGTTTGTATCGCTCCTCCTCCATCACTCGCCTCTCTCCGCTCTTCAGCTCGTTGCTGTGGTGTGAGAGGGGCTTCAGCAGCACACAGCTCTGCTTGCTGGACTGTTGATGTGATTTCTGAGACTTTATTAAGCAGTAAGTCTGAATATGACCCAGCTTTACGGAGTTTGCAGTGTTTGAGCACCAGATGCTCCGTTTAATGTCGTTCACCATCACTCTCACAGTACTCTGATTCTGCAGCTCGTGTCAGGCAACTATACAGCAGTGGTTCCCAAACTTTCTTTGCATGAAACCCCGTTTTCCCCCTGGAGAATATTGTGTGCCCCCCTCCACATTTAATGCTATATTGCTCATATAAGTTTGCAGAAATGATGAAAAAAAATGTTGTTTTCAAACAAACCGTGTGTTTATTGCTATATCTAGATATCTTTATGAACAAATAAATAATAGCCTGATGTAAAATATAAAAGCAAAACATCAGCAGAGCATTTCTAACTGAAAAACTGAAGGATTTTGCCTTTAAATTGACCCCATTAAACAAGAGAAATATCAGTGTAGTCACTGGCGCATCAGGGAAAATATACAGGCTATCCCAGTTCACTACTTGCTTGTTATCTGTAATGCTCTGCCGGTTAGTGTGAGGAATGCTGCGAGGTGAATCAGTGCGGCGACTCGGTGTTTTGTGGAGGACGGGTTACAGATTTCTCCATTTTTGGGGTGGGGAGGTGTTTTGTAGGTTGTAAGTTGCTAGGCGACCATCAACCGTTTCCCCAGAGGATGACAAGCTGGCGCAACATTGCTGTCGCTCTGATACACACTTTACCTGTCGAAAAGCACAGCAGTGTTGGTGTGTTCTGTGTTTGTCTGAGAAAACGTGTCTTACCGAAATATGAATATTCCACACAAGCTGAAGCTGATCCGTCAATTCTTGTCACGTGACTCGTGGTGAGCTTGCAGGAGTCATTGGCTCGAGCACGTCATGCCGCGCACCTCCATTGGAAACAGCATACTTGCGTTCGCGATGTGTGAACAGCCCCATTTGTGATCTCCATCAGTTGATCCTCTTGCAGAGCCATGCTGATTTGTTGACAAATGGGTTGCCCATCCATACCTTGGCAGTTCGTGGGTCGTTTACTGGGCCTTTTCCCCTTAGCAAAGGAACTTTCCGAAGACGCCCGTTTCCTACTCATTTTGCTAGTTGTGGGTTAAATCTTGGGGCTAAAGTGACCATGATGTAAGCGAGAGAATACTGTAATTTTTCAAAATAAAAGTTTGTTCAGACTCGGATAGTGAAATGGAAATAATTACTGGTTTATTGTGCGGCCCGGTACCAATTGATCTACGGAGCGGTAGCTATGGGAGCAAATGAACTAAGGCACAGGTGTCAAAGCCAGTTCCTGGAGGGCTGAAGCTCTGCACAGTTTAGTTCCAACCCTAATTAAAAACACCTGATCAAACTATTTGAGTCCTTCAAGCTTGTTTGAAACCTACAGGTCAGTGTGTTGGAGCAGGGTTGGAACTAAACTGTGCAGGGCTGCGGCCCTCCAGGAACTGGCTTTGAGAACTGTGAACTAAGGCATCATGATCATTCTCCTAATTGTCCACTGCTGAGAAATGGTTAAAATATGACGCAACCCCCCCACAGACCTCGCTGATGCCCCCTTATGGGCAGCGACCCCCCTGTTGGGAACCACTGGTGTTAAGGACACATACTGACATTAATGCAAAGTATTATTGATGAAAGATCACAAGTTGGCTTCCATATCTGATGACTGATTTCCAACACAGTGGAGCAGTTCAATCATTTGCCGCAGGAGTATTCTCGCACTCATCAGGATTTAGTTTGTCACATGAATTTAGAATAGTGACGCACAAGACAAATCATGAAGGACTGCTCAGAACAGTTCAGTTCTACACCCAAACACAATCTGACTGTCAGCTCAAGCTTTATGAGGTCCACTTTACATAGAAAGAGATCAGACTGAAGTGTGTGTGTGTGTGTGTGTGTGTGCAGATGAGATGTGTGTGTGTGTGCGTGTGTGTGTGTGCAGATGAGATGTGTGTGTGTGTGTGTGTGCGTGCTCCTCTACTTGATCACAGCGCTCTGTACAGATATGTGTGTGTTCTGCTGTTGCAGGAGTGTGCTGTGTCTGCTGGGTCGTGGCGCTGACCCGAACCGTATCATGTGTGATGGAGTGGCGGCGGTGCATCTGGCGGCCGGGAGAGAGTCTGAGAGAGGCCTGCGGTGCCTGAAGCTGATGCTGGAACACGGAGCCGATGCTAACCTGCGGTCAGTGTGTGAGATCAACACACACACACACACTGATCAGAGAACAGCTCTACCACACCTTAAGTCACTTAAATCTTCCCTTCTGATGTGTGTGTGTGTGTGTGTGTGTGTGTGTGTGTGTGTGTGTGTGTGTGTGTGTGCAGATCTGCCGAAGCTCTCACTCCTCTACACATAGCTGCATCCTGGGGCTGCTTGCAGAATCTCAGACTGCTCTTGAGGAACGGCGGAAACCCAAACCTCAGAGATCAAGTGAAGTTCACATCCTCATATTACTACTATACCACATATCACACCATCACATCTCTCTGTATCATCTCCACACGTCTCCACACGTCTCTCTGTATCGTCTGTCTGTATCGTCTCCACACGTCTCTCTGTATCCTGTAGCTGAATCTGAAGTGTTTGCGTTGTTGACAGAGTGTCTCTGCTTGATTGTCAGGATGGGAATAGAGCGTCAGATCTGGCAGAGCAGGAGGACAACAGTAAATGTGCCAGTCTGCTGCTGGAGCACGAGCTGCTCACACACACGCAGGAGGACGACGCTCCCAGATTCCACTACTGTAAGTCTTCCGTCTCTCTCTCTCTCTCTCCCTCTCTCTCTCTCTCTCTCTCTCTCTCTCTCTCTCTCTCTCTCTCTCTCTCTCTCTCTCTCTCTCTCTCTCTCTCTCTCTCTCTCTCTCTCTCTCTCTCCCTCTCTCTCTCTCTCTCTCTCTCTCTCTCTCTCTCTCTCTCTCTCTCTCTCTCTCTCTCTCTCTCCCTCTCTCTCTCTCTCTCTCTCTCTCTCTCTCTCCCTCTCTCTCTCTCCCTCTCTCCCTCTCTCTCTCTCTCTCTCTCTCTCTCTCTCTCTCTCTCTCTCTCTCTCTCTCTCTCTCCCTCTCTCCCTCTCTCTCTCCCTCTCTCTCTCTCTCTCTCTCTCTCTCTCTCTCTCTCTCTCCCTCTCTCTCTCTCTCTCTCTCTCTCTCTCTCTCTCTCTCCCTCTCTCTCTCTCTCTCTCTCTCTCTCTCTCTCCCTCTCTCTCTCTCTCTCTCTCTCTCTCTCTCTCTCTCTCTCTCTCTCCCTCTCTCCCTCTCTCTCTCTCTCTCTCTCTCTCTCTCTCTCTCTCTCTCTCTCTCCCTCTCTCTCTCTCTCTCTCTCTCTCTCTCTCTCTCCCTCTCTCTCTCTCTCTCTCTCTCTCTCTCTCTCTCTCTAGTGTTCTGCATTGGTCTGTCAGAGCAGTGAGATCTGCTGTAGAGGAATGCTGCAGTGTCTGCTGGAAGCAGAGCGTTCCACACTGTCATCATGACCGTTCTGTGTGCTGTTTTTCCTCAGCGCTGCTGTCGGAGGATTCGGTTCTAAGCAGCACTCATCTG